ATGCTTTTAATAACATAGTTTTATTGTTTTAATAGAATAATATATCTATTTTATTACAGTATTGTAAGATGTTCTCTATGGCAAATGTGCAATAGAATGTAATTTTCGGTAGTCGTTTATGAGATATTATCTTTTATATTGCTTTTAAGTATGAAAGCGGAGAAACAAAATATCTTTGGCGCTTGTTGTGATTATCTTATTATAATTAAGTACGTATGAAGTAGGAGTTGACCCAAAGATTGTGAATCGCAAGGGGTAGAAAAGGAAGAATACCAGTTTGCATAATAACAATAATATATTTACGTTATATATACATATGTATCTGTGTTTGTGTTTAATATGGCCTAAACCAGGACCGGCCTCCTCGACGTTCAGTCTGCGTGGCTGCATCTACCTGACTTCTTTGGACTAACCCTCGGGCTGGTCTGCGTCGTACCCGTTCGGTGTAGCTTCTGGGGCTCGTGGGAGTGCGTAGTCTTCCATATCAGTCTGGTGATGGAATGGAGACACCAGCGGTGGAATGTTGAATGGGAAGTTCTCCTTCCATTCGGTGATGTCAATGACGAGATCAGCCCCGGGAGTGGCCGATCAATCTAGCCTCGGTGACGGCAAGGCGTCAGGCACGGGACGACTAGCGTCAGGACTCCAGGAGTTGGACGGCTAGCGCCAGACTTTGGCGACGGTGAGACGTCAGGTACGGGGCAACTAGCGTCTGGAGTTGGGTGGCCAACGCCAAACTTCTGCGACGGCAAGCGTCGGATCCGAGGCGGGTAAGTGTCGAATCCGTAGAACGGCTAAGCGTCAGGCGGAGGTACTCTTATACTTACGGAAGAGATCCCTTCGGTTACGAAACCAAATCTGTTTTTATCTCGCAGAGAGGTCTGCTTATATACGCGGCTGGATGTTTTCTAAATGTGAGAAAGCTCTTCTCACCATGCACTATCTAGCGGCGTTGTTGCAAACTATAGTCAGTAGTATAGGAACTCCGCCGAGGCACATGCGCGAATGCGTTTTGTGGGTGGCGTAGCTTGCCATATCTCCTATAAAATAAAAATAAAATGAAGAAGTGCTTATTATTCTTGAAAAACCATCTAAACAGTTGCAAAATTATTGATAAGAAAGATACATGTTTCTTACAACGGTAGATTGTTGTGACTGTTGATAGTGACATTGTAGAAGTGTTGTTAAAAATGCTACAGCTTCACAAATGTCGCACAAATGCAGCAGTGGTATTATCATCACAGAAGCTATAAACATACAACATATCTGCATATTTGATATTTGTGAAGATGCGTTCATATGAACATTTTTGCTTAAAATGACCGATATTATCATTTCCTAGAGTAGTGACCTTTTCTCCTGCGACACCCTGTATATGCAAAGCTGTGCATATAAGGGTTAAGTCTACTACCGTGCATATATTTTTACCATAAGACTTCAAATAAAAAATAGGATCTTTCTTGTAGATTTCGAAAAAATATATTGTTGATTCAAAATTTCTGAGCCACATTATGTTTACAAACATAAAAAATATTTTTTATACAAATGATATGTTGGGGGATACATTTCCGATGTGAATATCATGTCGTAGAAATTTTACAGGCGACTAATTTCTTAAATAAAACTTAATTTTTTCTTTGAGATAAAAGTTGAAATAAAAGATCCCCGTCAGAGAGAGACGTTTTCAAAACATCCCCAAAAATTGTCTTTTGCATAAGCCGTTCCGGAGTATGAAGCTTCAAAGTTTACAAAGTCATTGGTTCTACATGTATGGTTTGTGCAACAGGCTTTAATGGTTATTGTAAACTCATACCACTGTCTAGGTATCCTATTTTTAGCGCTACCTAGGAACAATGGTGTGGACGTAGTAGTTTTCTGTTTTGTTTGGAGTGCTTGATTAGCGTGAATCTCCTTGCCTCTCACGAGGTGCTTGATTAGCGTTCTCTCAACAGCTACCGCAGAAACTGTTTAAAGTTATCCCCGTTGGCTCGAATGCATAACCTGATTCTCTTTGCAAAATGTGTAAATGTTTTAAGTAAGACAGCCTTTGGTATCGCTCTACAAGCCATTCGAATCCGTTCAATCGATCATATCTTTCCTTGTCGTCGATTTCTGCTCAAACACGATATTTTTCACGTATCCCCATAAGTAAAAATCAAGAGAAATCAAATCTGGTGACCATACAGGTCATGCAATTGGACCACCTCGTCCGATCCACCTGCCGTTGAACTCTTGATCCAGAAAATTTCTTACGATTCGTGTATAATGTAGTGGCGCACCATCCAGTTGAATTCACATTCTTCCTTGTCTTTATATCGATTTCTTCGAGTAAAACAGGTAAGTAATCCCTTAGTAATTCCAGAAAGTTATGTTTGTTCACATTTTCATAAAAAAAAATGTAGACCAATTAGATAACCATTAATGATTCCACACCAAACCATTATACTCCAACGGTGTTGATTGCCTACTTGTCTATACCAATAAGGATTGACATCTGATCCAGTAATGACAATAATGTCTGTTCAATTCTTCGGTATTTTAAAGTCAATTCATCAGATAATAGAACGTATTTGAAAAAATCTGCATCATGTGCAATCATCCGTTCAACCCATTTACAAAACAGTAGGGGAGACCAGGGCTATATAGTTGTCACATTTTTCAAATACTGATTTTAAAAACAATGTTAGCAATATTTTATAATATTGTATATTATTTTATAATGTAGCTACATCTTTTAGGTGTAAGAAAAAAAATATTGGACTTGTATATATTTATACACAAAAAAGTTATTTAATTTTAAGTAAAAACTGCGCAAATGTGACAACTTACCCCATACCCAGGGTTGGTTGTCACATGACTTTGGAGTGATTGTCATGTATCTTTCATGTAGAGGAAACATACGACAAATATTTTCTGTTTTAATATTTTATTTAAGTTAGTGCCAGTTTTTGGTAAATTTAACTTAATAATATATTGCAGCGTGAATTAAACGAAAAATTAATAATTTTTATAAACTTCGTAATAAAATTCTCATAAACTTAGAGTAAATGAAAGAATAAAAGCAACAACGTAGAACTACGTCAACTGTCACTATTTCATGTTAAAGTATTCAGTGAAGAAAACTAGACGTAGGGCTACGTCAACTGTCACTATCATTCATCCAAAGACAGTTGACGTAGCCCTACGTCTAGTTTCCTTCGCTATACTTATACTTTAACATGAAATAGTGACAGTTGACGTAGTTCTACGTTGTTGCTTGCGGCACAGTTGCAGTATGTGCCCGTTTCTTTTTTAACTTCTAAATTTTTCTCTATAAGAAATTTCTCAAATTATTAGCATATAATAAATTGACTTCCTTCTAGGAAACTTTATAAGCTAAATAAAATGATGTGGAAGCAATATGCAAGTTTTTATTTTGAAAATTTGTGTTTGTTTTCTTTAATTTAAAAATTTTTGAGAAGTAAAACATACTAAATGTTTTTTTACTATATTTTCTTTTACTATATTTCCATATTTTTTTTTAACGTGGGAGAAATTCTTTTTTTATTTTAGGTGGGGGAAATCTTCAAAAGACTACCCGCCCCGGTCGGGTCCGGGACGGGATTGTGCCGGATTCTACGGGCGCGTATCACACCGGGTTAAACTCCGGCGATAGACGGCGACGGCCGCAGTCTACCGGCTAAAACCCCCACCAGTCCCTAAGCGCTTTACCTAACGGCGCAGGGGGAGGGGCCCAGGAAACGCAATGATCACATCCGTGACCCCCTTACGCTGGCCCTTCCCTTATGGAAAAATACACTCAACCCATAGAAAAACCCTTGTTGGGTGTGATTTCGGACCGCCAATAGGCGTTAACAATAGGTTTAACCTATTGGCGGTCCGAAATCACATCCAACTTTAAGGATTTTTCTATGGGCTCAGTGTATTTTTCTATAAGGGTTGTCATCGGGCTCCCTTCTGGGGACCGAAGTCCCCGTCTTAAAGACAAATCTAGTTTTGGCGGATTAGAGGGGACTAACCCTGACCCACCACCCCCCTTTGGAAGAGCTGCTGACCTCTTTAGGGGCGGCCCGTAGGCTCCCCGTCAGGATCAGCGGTGACGAGTGGCAGACCCAAACCACCCGCCACCACCCCCAGGCGGTAGGAGGGGGGGCGGCTCACGAGAACCCGCGACGAGTCATCGGGAAGCGCCGGGGGCCCTTCCAGAACTTGCCATACGGAACTCGCCTTCCGGGACACCCCGGCAACCAGTCCGACCCGCCGCTGGGAGCGGACACATCCTCCCCTTACCGCGCCCTCCATGGGGAATCAGCCCGAGCCCCATCCCCGTCCCGCATCCTCCGCCGATCTGCTCGGCACGAATAGGAATGGCAGAGGGGGGCTTACGTCCACCCCCGTGCCATTCCCTCCTCCCGTCTTTGAACACATCCCTCATAGCCTAGTTGGAGATGCCAGGGGACCCTCTGTATTTTGAGGAGTCCGCTGTTGTCCTTATCCCTTGTAACGTTTAAAACGTTTGACCGTGAAGTGTCTCCCCGGTCTATTCGTCCTCGTCTGAGAACGGAGGAGAGAAAGCCTCCTCCCTCCTTATTCTTTTGTCCGCCTTTTTTTGCAGCATTACCTTGCCGCAAAAGGAGACGAACGCTTCCCATCTCCGTATCTTTTCCGCTCCCGTTCCGGCCGTCCTCTCTATGACGGCCGGGAGGGAAAGGTCCTCCCCGATCTCTGTCTGGAGGACACGGCGCTCGTCTGCCCACGCTGGACAGAACTCCAGCGTGTGCTGCGCCGTGTCCGCCTCCTCCGGACAATAGTGGCAGCGCTCAGTGCGCTTTTTCTCTATACGGTGCAGGTAGTGGCCAAAACACCCATGACCCGTTATGACCTGCACCGCATGGAAGGCTAGGCGTCTCCGTTTCACGCCTTCCACCCACTCCTCGAATACGGGTTAAACAGCCTTGACGATTTTTCTCCCCCATTTGTGTCGCGGGTCTTCCACCTACTCTTTCCAGCGTTTGAGAAGGTCGTCTTCCCTTGTAGCTCAATAGCCCTTCTAATGTCCGGCGGGACAAACCCCAACCTTTCTCTGGCTTGGCACATCTCCTCATACGTGTCGGCGTAATATCTCGCCAGGAGGTGTGCCGGTGGGATTCTTGGCAGAACCGTCGCCCCCATGTGGGCAACGGTCCTATAAGACCTGGAGGCTGGTACAGCGATTATCCGCTGCACGGCCTCTATCTTCCCTCGGTGGCAGATCTACCCACTTTCTGCCACCATATCGGTGCTGCATATAGCAGCACCGAATGGACCGTTGCCGTATAGAGGCAACGCACGCGCCCGCTAGCCCTGCCCAAATTGGGCAATATTCTGGACAGGCAATTTGCTACCTGCCCAGCCTTTTCGGTCGCGCGGGCGACGTGCTCCCCAAAGCTACGTCCGCTGTCCAGCCCCATCCCAAGATACTTGTGATAAGGAGTGGGAGGGACTATGACTTCTTTCACTCGGAGGCTGAGCTACCTCGGAGGTGGACCTCAGGCTCTACGGTTGTAGAAGAGTGTCATCTGAGTCTTCTGGGGTGCCACCTTCAGGCCCAGCCTCTCTATACAGCGCACTACTCCAGCTGCTGCCACGTTGGCCAGCCTGAATAGCTCCTGCCAGTTTTTTTCCGCTGACTCTCAGGTGTATGTCGTCAGCATACCCCGAGAGCTAGCATCCCTCGGGGAGAACTGTCCTGAGGACCAGGTCGTAAGTTATTATCCACAGCAGGGGTCCTAGCACGGACCCCTGCGGGACGCCACACTCCATTAACCTAACCCTCAGGACTCCGTTCCGGTCCGTGAACATCAAGCCCCTGTCCCGAAAATAATCTCGGACGATCGAGATCAAATAGGGGAAGAACCGGCCAGGGGAGAGAGTTGAAGGCATTCCTCACATCGTATGAGGTGCCCATTACAACCCTCCCCTCGGCAATTTCGGCCTTTACCCGGGCGAGGATGCGCTTTATCGCGTCGATCGTAGAACGCCCGGCGCGGAAGCCGAATTGATCGTCTGATAAACCCTCGTGTCCCATTCGGGACAGGTGCTGGACGAGACATGCGGCGATTACCCGCTCGAGAATCTTTCCTGCCTCGTCAGGCAGGCACACGGGCCGGTATGCCGACGGCAAGTCCGGAGACTTGTCCGGCTTCGGCAGGAGCACCAAGCTGGCCTCCTTCCATTTTTTGGGAAACCGGCCGGTGCGCAGACACGCCGTGTACATTCTGCGCATCATGCCGGCCAGTTCCCCCGCGGCCAAGATCCACGCCTTGCCCGGAATGCCGTCAGGGCAGGGGGTCTTTCGCCCCTTAACCCTGCGGAGAGCCCCCGACAGCTCTTCCGCACTGACCCCCCATTCTTCCCCCCATTCCCCCCATTATTTCCTCCATTTTTGCTCCACGATCGGTGGAAACAAGACTTGTCCCTCGTCCTTACAGGAGAACGATTCGTCGATGACCTCAACGAACGGGGGGTCCAGTGTTTCCGTTACTGGAGGCGTCCAGGATCTAAGTTTGTCTCGGACCAATTTGTACGGGCGCCCCCACGGATCTTTCTCACGCTGTCGAGGAGCTCCTTTCAGGCAAGCTCCTTGGCCGCGCGTATGGCACGGGAGAGGTCTTTGCGGGCGGCACGCCAAGCCTCTCCTGCCTCCTCCACGTTGAGAGCGCCGCGCCTCCCGGCGCGGGCTCTCTGCCACGTTCGCTTGGCACGGACGGAGGAGCAACGCAGTTCTGTCAACTTTTCCGTCCACCAGTAGGTACATTTGCGAGGGGGGAGGGGACGAAGCCGAGGCATCGCCATATCACATATCTGTGTCATAGTCCTGATCAGTCCCTCAACCTCGTCATCGATGTCCTTCCCCCGAATGTCCCCTTCTTCCTCCTTGTGCCATGTTAGCACCAAGACCGCTGCTCCGAACAAGTCTTCGTTCAGCTTCTTGAAGGCCCATCTTTGCCTGCGCCTGCTAGCGTCTCGGCGGCGGGCGAGCACTTTCGGCGGGGTGGGACAGACCGTCATCTCCAGATACACAACCACCCTCCAATTGTGCACCGTGCGGGCGACAAGGGAGGGGGTGGCCTAAGTGAGGTCAACTACCGATGATCCTTGCCGCCGCACGCACGTGCTCTCTCGGCCCAAGTTTAATAGACTTAGGCCGAGTCCCACCGCCTATGATTCGGTGGCGCGACCCCTCCAATCGGTTCGCGGGGAACCCCACAGCGTGGACTTCGCGTTGAAGTTCTCCGCGACCATGACCCGACCGGACAAGCAGGCTCTGACGCAATCCTTCAGCGTCAACAAGAACCGCGCATACTCGTCCCGGGCCCAACTTGGAGGGGCGTAAATTGCCACCACAAAAATGGGCCCTCATTCCACCGTCACGTACCCTACTCCAGCACCTTTACGCGTGCATGGAAGAGACAGCGGTATGTTTTTCCATGTGACCGCGACGGAGCCCCTCTCGTCCTCCGCCTAACACGGGTGGTTTCTCGAGACTTTCCAGGGCTCCGCCGCGATCCCCAAACCACACCCGCGCTCTGTCATAGCCTGACAAAATAAGTCCTGGGCCACGCGGGCGTGGTTCAGGTTAGTTTGGAGGATTCGGTGGGCCATTAAAGGCGTCCAACGGAGTCCTCCACTCCTTCCTCGCTGTTATCCTTTGGCAGGAGAAAGTTTTCCCCCACTCCCGCTTCCTCCAGCACCTTCGTTTTCATGGGGGAGGTCTCCTCGCTTCCCTTGTCGAGCTTTTCGCTGGGTGAGGGGTCCGTTTCCATCGCCGTCGTTCCACTCGCGGGCATCTGGACATCCGGTTTCCCTCCTTTCTTTACCCTGGGAGGTCTTTGCTCCTTGGGGGCTTTCGAGGAAACCCCGGCTATTACTCTGCCCCCTTGGATGACCTCCCAGCCCGATACCGCAATATCGTTCGTCTTGGTAGGCTTAGCTTTGGGCTTAGGCTTCGGCTTCACTGTGTCCGTTGCCTTCTGAGTCTTCTGAGCCTTTTCGACGGGTTTCCCTGTCGTCCTCTTACTTTTCTCTTTGCAGCACCCTCGGCACGCGGGTCCCCCGACGTGATGATCGTGGGGGAGCCCCTTATTTTCGCATACCGCGCAGCGCACCGGAGCCTGGCAATCGCGGGCTGAGTGACCCGCTGCCCCGCAACAGTAGCACGCTCCGGTGCGGTCTGCCTCATTGCGGCATGTTGCCCGGGTGTGCCCCAGCTCCAGACATCTGTAACACTGGAGTGGCCGCTTTTCCAACACTACAATTTTTGTTGGCAACCACCCCAGTGTTACTTTTCCCTCCCTAACTAGAGAGTTGGCCATGGCCAACGGGCATTTTATCACTGTTGTGCATAGCCTGTTGCCAGCCATCTTCCTAATTGGCCCCACCGTAATACTGAAGAGGCTAGCTTGTCCCTTCACCGCCAGAGCCTTCCTAATCTCTGCTTCAGACACGAACTTTTCGAATCCGCTAAGGCGAAGATCGGTCGTCATTACTGGACGACCGACCGTCACCCCCTCCTTACCGGACATGGTTTCCCTCATTTTATTCGCGAGAGCATCCGCCTTCTCGACGTTGCCCTGTCCGGTAATCTCGAGGCTGATCGCCCCCGTAGCCGTTCTTTTAAGGCGCGGGGCTTTCTCGATTCCGAGACTGGCCAAATCGATCTTACACCTGACTTCGTCCATAAACTCTGCGTATTGCCCTTCTGGGCAGATTAGCGTTACCGCCGCTGTACGCGGCACCCTCCTTCTCTTCGACCCTGTTGCTTGTTGAGGGGTCGGTATTTTCCCTCCACTCTTGGGTTGCGCGGCGTTGGCCCTCTTCGTTTGAGGACCTGTCGTCGCGCCGGCTTGTTTGCGGGGCTGATTACTCACCTCCGTTTTCTTAGCCTTCCCCTTGTTTTTCTTGCCTTTTGCCATCAGGGTCTACTCTTCCCCTCCATTCTTGTTCCCAGTGGCGTTCGGCGTGTCTCCTCTTTTTTCTTGGGACTGCGCCCTCGGTGAAACCTTTGTGGGAGTCGGACGAGAGCCCGCCTTTTGTCCCACTACTTGCGACCAAAATTTACCTTTGGCCGGCTCGGGGACGGGCTCTATCGTTTGATTCTGCGTGGCGGTCTTTATCTCCTCTCCCTTGTTCTTTCCCCCTTTCTTCTTCTGGGGGGCGGGCGCTTTCTCAGTTGAAGAGAGAGACTTGTCCTCGCTCCTTCCTCCTTTTCTCCTGATGTTCGGGTTCAACTCTGTCAGTTTGGTCATGAGTCTGTCTTCCATGCGGTTGACCTTCTCTTCGACGCATTGCACCAGCATCGTCGCCAGTCTATCCTCCATACCCGGTCGGGGGGCTGCTTTCTCATTCGACGGGATCGTCGACGCAGCCTTTGGAGGAATGGTTGGGTCAATAACCTTTCTTCTCCCTTGTAACGGAGGTCTGATCGTCGGTGGCATTTCGATGGCGGCGATCTCCTCCATCACTTGGTTCCTCATGCTATTAATCTCTTCTTCGTCCTGTTGGCCTACCGGGTCCATGTCCACGTTTTCGTCCCCGAGCCTCGTCGGACTGGTTCCCTCTCTGGCCGGTGATTCGGTCCCCGAGGACGAAGAAGGAAGCTTCGTTCTCCTCTTCTTCGTCCCCTTCTCGGTGACGATCACTGAGGTCGCGGCCGAGCTTCTCGTATTCGGAGTCGGGTTTGGGTTAGCGTTCGTTATCCCGCCCCTCTTCTCCAATTGCAGTTGTAACAACTCCGTTCTTTGCCTGAGTTCCTGCAGCTCGTGCTGGTTCTCAATGTGCTGAGCTTTCATTTCGTTCAAAAAAGCTATCTCTTTTTCTTGAGCGGTTACCCGCTCCCACAACTTTTCCATCTCGGCGTCCTTCGCGTAGCCGGTCGCTGGATCTTCGTAGTTCTTTACGAGCAGATCCAGCGCTGCCTTGATGGTAGCCGCCGACCTATTAAGACGGCCCCGATACTTCCCCTTCAGAGAGCGCGACTTTTTGGCCACCAAGTCGATGCCGTTGACGGCCTCTCCGATGACCGATGGCAACGCCGCCAATGGGGTGATACTCAATTTGTCCCTTTTCTTTTTCAATCTTTCTGTTGATAGAAAGATTGGCCGGTACGATTGCGTCTCTCAGGGTCTTAAGCT